GCAGTTGGCAAAAGCAAAGCGACTGATAAGGGGTAGATCCAAGTTTGATTTCTTACAACTGCGCTGGGAGATAACTATGGGCAATACAAATACTAAATGCAGAATCTTTTATTTGTCACCAATGTGTAATTAAAAACTAATTTACTTTCTTTCAAATGATTAGATTTGACTCTTTTTTCCAGCACCTACCTCTACCCATGCTGGGCCGGGTTATCCTGACCGATATGTGGGCCGCATTCGCTTACCATACCTATGGGTGTGGCCTGGCCTGAGGTGCAATATTATTTACATAATGGACAAGGTTTATTGAACTTATTTCACTATACATATTTGGTTGGGTTCCAATACACTCCGTATGTATCCATTAAGAGTCCCACAATTTATAGTGTTGCCTTAATTGAACTCACAATGCACGAAATGACAATTAAAGTCATATTTATATTAAACTACTACTTTACCCGTGCAACGCACGAGATCGAACAGAATTTTTGTCAATTCTAAAACTTTTCAATGCAATATTTATCCAGAATAAAGAAACACCATCGAAAAAAATACCAAAATAGAATAAATAATACTCTATATTTGAGGAAATGAATGTGTACTCAAAAAAGCTTGTTTTAATATTAAATTTTCTAAAAGACTTCAGGATATACAATATTTTTTGTATGGTTGCAAAGATTTCCATTGTCATCTAGAACCAATATTTTTAATCGTGTCTTTGTCTTCACTCGTAAAATAACAATATAAAGCTGACCATGAGCCAACACCGGCTAGGTTAAAAATAATCCAACAAATTACAATATTTAACCTTAACTTTTACTGATAGTCATTGCAAAACATAAGAATATACTGAAAATTATCTTCTCTAGAACTTCAGGGGTAGTCATGGATCATATGGTACTAAATTCATCTAGATATATAAACTTTTTCCCCGACTTGATTTTCCAAAACCACAATAGCATCGATACTGTTCTTTCACAGTTTTTTACGATTAATCTTATATCATTAAACAATCCAGATGTTTGATCAATGTTTCTCAATAACATAATTGGTACCTTTTTAAAAAAATTATTTTGTGGTTTGGGATTTCCAAAAATTTGATTTTATTTAAAAACTCAATTGTTACTCAATCACCATCAACACCTATACTAGCTACATTTGAACCTGCCTAGCATGAAGAATCAGAACTTCAGTACACCATTACATCTCCGGGAATGATGGATAGAAAAAATTCATTTACCATTTCTACAAACCTCGAGTGTGGGTGCCAGTAGTGCCCTATCTTCAAAAAAGAATAACTTTGCATATTCTCCAATAGATATGGATAAGTGAATTCCACTATATATATCCTTGAGGAGATAACTTGTGTCTAAAATCAAGAATTTAGGCAGACTTTCAACGTCAGTTGTTCCATCAATCACTTATCCAAGCTGTTCATTTCTAACATTGATTATCCAATCATAAAAAGCTTGTGTGTCTAAATCTGCGCAAGAGGACGTAGATGAATGCAATGTCATAATCTTTGTCAACGTATGAACTTTACAAACGACCACAATTTTGAAGAATTGATGGTAGCACCTACCATTTTCACTCTTGAAGCTTTAGGTAAAAAAAAGTAGGATTTGCCAAATATTATCTCATTCTCCCGAGTGAATGTAGATGGTAGAATAATTCGTTGGCCCATGGCTACCGATTTGGTATCACCTTTGACCAGAGCTTCTTGTATGTCATTCATAATTATTCCTCTAGCTTGATCTTGAATTGGTTGAACCACACTCAATGAAATTCTATGTGCTTCAACCATCATATATGCATCATCCAAAAAATTTAATCTCTATGCAACAGGATACCACCATCATTTTCTCTTTCATGTATTCATAATACAACAAATATTTTTGTTATTTAACCGAATACAAGCCAAATAATTATAAAATAATAATAATAATAATACTATAAACTAATATTTAAAGCATTAGTTTCCAATTTCACAGAAAAAGGGGAACAAATATATAAAAGGAAATGAATTATTATTGGCATGTTTAATAGAGCATTAATGATATTTCGTATACAATAAAAAACATTCTATATCTAATAAAAATTATGCTCCATTTTAAAATTAGTATTTTTCATTTTAAATTTACTATTTTCCTAAGTTTTGTAAAAAATTTCAGAATTGTGCCTCAAAAACTACTCTTCTCAGACTTCTCCCAAGCTCGGCGATACATCTCCTTCTCCCCGTCGCCATGTCCGAGAGAACCTCGGTCACCGGCATGTCTTCTTCATCGACAACTCCCCACTTGGCGTTCACAACCATATCAAACGTGAAGCTCCATGTGCCTATTCTTCTCAGCTGCTCCGATACCATGAAGAAAGATTATTTTCTATGGATAATAGCAGAAGACTAAGCCTCGTATAAATACATACAACGGAGTCCTAACAACGAAAGGAAACCTATATGGGTAATTTACCTAAATAGGATTAAAACATAATGAGTTTCTCAATATAGAACCATATGTTTTTATTTCCCAATGTAGGACCATTGGTCATTATCTATTAGTCATTATTCAACTAAATGTTCAGCATCACTTAGACATTATTCTTCTCACTAGTCATTATTAAGTCTAATTTAGGAAATAAAAAAGTTTAAGTCCTACACTGGGAAATGACTTATGTTTTAGTCATATTCAGTGCAAATTTTACAACTTTAAATAGAAGAGTGTATAGGTGGTTTGAAATTTGAATTAAAAAAATTTAGACAGTAACGGTTGAAACAAAAAAACAGTTATAGTTGTGCAGCGTGGTCGTGGCCATCCACACATTGGCTCACGCGGGCGACTCACGACAAGGGTGGGGGGGGGGGGGGGG